GCCATGGTGTACTCACAAAGATGCCCACACAAAAGCATACATGTACACACATGCACTCATGAAAATCGCATTTATGCACACACATACATATCCCAAGATGAAAGAGAATGAATGAAGTCTTAGTCAAATTTGACTCTGAAGGCTCTAGAACATCTTCAACATTTTTCAAAGTTGACCCATATTTTGATTTTAAATACATAGTACAAAATGGCTTTGATTTTAAATATGTAGTACAAAATGGCAGAAATATGCTTAGGACTATTTCAGAAGTTATTGGACATTCTGTCCTAATCCCAGGCTAAAATTTATTGACAAAATTTTTATGTGTATGGAAGTTAAGTCAGCAACTCAAACAGCAATTCTTAAAAGAAAATACTCCCATACAGAGCTGCATCATATGGGATGCTAATGCTTCCCCCAAGACCCATACACTACCTAACAAAAACCCCAGTGCTAGTTGGAATTATTGGCCAGGGTGGTATAATAACCCCTTCCAAACAGTATAGATTATTGCCATTGCCTTTGGTTACCTTCCAGAACTTGAAAGTAAGATCCCATTACTGAAGACATTACACACTTAGGACACAGGTCCTGGCGGTCTCCTCCATAATGACTGGCTCTCATAGTGTCAGAGGTACTGTGTATGCTTCCAAGAGAGAAAAGCTGTAAAGCCTATGAACAACAACAATGACCAGCCAGGCAAGATGGCCCCAATAGTGCAATAGTGGTACTTTATCTTGGGGTGACCAACAGTTATCTAATTGGATTTAAAGTTCTTTCAGGAGGAGGGAATTCATGTTGGCTACTGTCAACCCAGTCAACTATCCATAGCTGGAGAGGTCATAAGTCCCAGAGGAGAACCTACTACTGCCATTTTCTAAACCAATGTAATTTCTAGTTGTATTCTACTTATCCTTCTCCCCAGATAAGTGTAGCTCTCGTCCCTCATTGCAGAAGCTCCTTTTTGTAGCTGATGGAGACTAGTACAGAGATCCACAACCCAACGCTACACCTGAAAAGAGAAAATTGAGGGCAAGAGGAAGGAAAGCTTGTAAGATCTAGAGGATCAGGACGTCTGAGATTGTGTCTTCTATATGTGATGGGGAAGCTCCACACATGACATCTCAACAACATGGCCATCTTAACAAGGCCTGTGCAATACCACTTGATATGTCAATGTGGATGGAGGAAACATTACAAGGGCCCGCCCCTTGATGAAGAGCTGCTTCTAAGCAACCACTGGCTGCTAAGAGAAGGAGAATCAGTTTTCTCTAGGGACAAGCCCCTGATAGGTTATCGATTCCCAAGTGGACCACTCTAAACACATGTATATATGAGCAACACCAAAGGGAATATATATATATATATATACATATATATATGGTGATACATGCTGAGGAAGGACTGGAATTTTATGTTTAATTCCACAATTAAACATAAAAGCAGCAAAGTTTTTATGCACACAATAGAAAGATTGGAATTCACAGCTCGCAGGAGTCCCAAGCCTGAGCCTAGTTGTTTCAGGCAGTGTTTGTGATGTCAGGTATGTGTTGGTTTGAGCGTCTACACCATGTGTGCTGCATGTGTAGTACCAAGGCTGTGAGGAAACCTGTGAAGCAACGCAAGTGCACACTGGCAGAAACACCTCAGGCCCACTGTATGTTTGATTTTGGCTCACTGCCACATTTTGCATGACCACTACGTCAAGCTGTCACCAGCTGATGACACTGGATGTTAGACAATCACTCTACTCCTCTACATCTCCACCCTCATCTGTTCTCCATATGACTTTCATTAAGTCCGCTCTCAGTCTTTTGCAGAGAATGGGGCCCCAAGAAGAAGAGAATATTTTCAGGAAGGAAATATATGACTGGGACCAGTCACAGCTAGAATAAAGGTACTGTAGGCTAGGCAGGATGTCACAGAAGCTAAAAAAATTACAGACATATGTTGCTTAAGGCTAGGGAGGTGCGCTGAGAAACAGGTGAGCCCATGGCTGTGTGAACATCAGAGAGCATCCTTAGACACACCTACAAGGTCTCGGTCTGTCACATGTCATGGCCTCCTGCTGCCCCCAAGAGAATGACAGGTAAGGCTGTCAGGCTGGGTGTGAACCTTTGAATTACTGCAACAAAGTGTCTGGGCAGCTAAGTTGGCAGAAGACGGGGTTTTATGACCCTCACAGATTTGGAAACTGAAAGCCCAAAAACCACAGGGCACTTCACTTGGCATGATGCCCCTGTGCATGAAACACAGTGGAGGGCACAGGAAGGAATATCACATGGTAATCTAAGAAGAAAGGGGTGCATGAAGCCAAACTCACACCTTTATAGCAAGACTTCCCAGAGAACTACCAAGGGGTCCTGTGAGAACTAGTTCTGAGGGCACAGGCCAGTGACCTATAGGCCACATCCTGACAAGGAAGCTAGCAATCATTACAGTCCCCGGGGGAGACTCTCAAACCATACTCAAGCTAGAGTACATGTCATATTTTTTCACACTAAACTTTTGTAAGCAGAAATAATGATAAAAAGTACAATATCATAAATATATAGACCAGCCACATAGGGGTTTACTTTCATTATCAAATTCTATGCACTGCACATAATTGATAATTGTACATGCTAAGCTTTGGGTATGTATGAGTAGTGCATGCATTCGTTTGTGTGTGTGTGTGTGTGTGTGTGTGTGTGTGTGTGTGTGTGTGTGTGTGTGAAATGGCATGCATATAGAGGTCAGAGGACAGTTTTCTCATTCTATCTTTATGTGGGTCCTGGGAATCACATCCAGGCTGTCAAGCTCATGTAATCAGGATCTTTGCCACTGAGACATCTTTCTGGCTCTCCACTTTAATTTTGAGACAGAATGTGATGATTAATCTACACTGCCAAATTGATGAGATTTATACTCACCAGGGAACAAACCTCTAGGTATACTCACAAGAGATTTTTCTAGATCAGGTCAACTGAAGTGGGAAGACCCACCCTAATACGGGTAGCATGACTCCATGGACTGGGGTCTCAAACTGAATAGAAAGGAAAATGGGAGCTAAGTAGAGGCCTCTCTCTCTCTCTCTCTCTCTCTCTCTCTCTCTCTCTCTCTCTCTCTCTCTCTCTCTCTCTCTCTCTGCTTCTTGCCTACTGCTAGTATGACCAGTTGCCTCAAGCCTCTGTCGCTATGACAGACTTTGCTCTTGAACCGTGAGCCAAAACTAACCGTTCTTTTCTAAGGTTGTTTCTTTGCAAGTGTTTTATCACAACAGTAAGAAAGACATCTGTGACGCAGGGTCTCTCACAGAACCTAGAGCTCACTGATTGGCTATAGTGAGTGACCAGTGAGCCCCAGTGAACTTCTTGTTACAGCTTCCCAGTGCTGATATCATAAGCATGTGTAGTCACACTTAACCTTTTTACGTAGGTGCTGGGGACCAATACCCAGTCTTTGTGCAGACATGGCATACCCTTTACCAACTGAGCTATCTCCCCACTCATGTGCCAAACAGTCATCAATATGTTGGTTTATGCTGTAAACATGCCAAGTGATAGGATGACTATGACATCTCTAGGCCATAGGGAGTTTCAGTTCCATTGTAAACCTACAACTGGGCTCTTTTCATATATAATGTCCTTTGTAGACTAAAATGACCTGATCTGGTACATAATTACACAACCTGATGATTCTGGTAGAGTGTTGAGAGACTTACACAGTCATGGGTTTATATGGGGTATGAACAAGTTGAGAACTTCAACAGGTGTCTTGGCTACACACTGACCTTGGTATAGATTCGTAGAACCTTTTTCAACATTGGAGAGGTGGGTGGAAGTTTTGATGAGTTCAGACCTTTTTAACATGAGGAACGCAATATAATATGGTGCCTATCCTGTGTCTCCCAGACATTCCCAGTGAAGTCTGGCCCAGCACCCTGTAAACAAACCCATTAATATTCTTGTGATGAAATGTATAAATACTCACACCAAATGGGATAATAAGGACTATAAATAGCCTCATGTCCATTCAGGCCAGGTTTGGCTCCTAAGTAAGTACTCCTTGCCAAAAAATGAAAAGAGAAAAAAAGGGGGTAAAAACACTCTGGTTTTCAGAGCTATTTGGATTTGAAACTGGTAGGACAGAGCCTGTTTGAGCTGTGTGCCATCTGAAGACTGTAAATGAACAGAGGCACCACCGTGGCAAGGATCCAGCGTGCAGACTTCCAATCCGCCTAGCATTCTGGCTTGATGAAACACAGATGACTGGCTCACATTTAGTGAACTGGCTGTGGGCAGAACTTGAACCAAGCTCAGGAATCTTACTTCCAGCTGGGCCATTCCAGCGGGAGTTAGCAGTCACCTTCAGACAGATACCATGCAGCAGAGTCTGAAGTTCATGACCTTCACTCAAACCCCCAAGGATGGGAGCCCTTCCTTGCCCTTGGCGATGTCATCCTCACCCCTAGATCACTGGGTTCTATTATGGGCCTGAGGAGAAGCCTACGCTTGGAGATCCTGTCCTACAAGTTCAAAGATTCAAGTTCTTGGGTATGGATGATGTTCACTGAACCCCTGGGTATTATTGAATTTAATTGGTCATCATGTGCAGAGAAAGACTTATATAGTAGAAGGATCACATGCAAGCCAGAAAATAGCAGAGGAATAAAAGATCTTGTTTTCCACTGTCAAACAGGAACTAAGGGGGAGGACAGCAAATATGACCTCTGTTTCTGAAAGATGAACATCATGGTCATTGACAATGACTTCCTCTGCTCCCAAGGTCTGGTGATGCCCATCCCAGGTCTCTCTTGAATGAGTGGCTAGTAAGTGAATTTTGAAGGTCTGTTATTTAGGGTCCTTTCTTATAACTATTGCCATCCCAACTAAAATAAAGTGGGCATCACTTTGATTTTTCTCTAAGCTAACTAAGAAGTCCTAGGGTAGATGCCTCCAGGTCTGACTAAATCTGACACGCCACTGAGTACTAGGAGTCTGTCCTTTTCCTCCTCTCAGGATTGCTTCCCTTGTCATGTGGCGTCTCCACTGGTGGTTGCCAAGCTCACATCCTCCAGTCAAGCAATCCCTTCAGAGAAAGGACCTGAGTAACCAGTCCCAGGACATTGAGGTGAGCCATGTGCACCTTGGAAATGGTTCCTGAGCTGACTGTACAAAATACAGCCCTTTGGAAGCTCAAGACCGTGATCATGGTGCTCCCTTTTGTTGTATGAGGGAAACCTTACCATGCCTCCTGCAGCTCTGAACTCATCAGAGTCAGACTTCAGCATCAAGAAAACAGTATATAGCCTGTCCTCCCCATCTTTATGTCAACCTGCCACAGCCTAGGATCGTCTGAAAGGAGTCTCAGTTGAGTAGCTGGCTTTATCAGGTTGTTCTGAGGACATGCATGTGTGCAATTGTCTTGCTTATTTTTATTGACTATTGCTATTTTTATTGACTTGTTTTTAATGAACTAAAAGGTCCCAGCCAGCCATGTATAGAGCCATTTTCCTAGACAAGATGACCCTGGGCTGTCTAGGAAAGCTAGCAGCAAACAAGCCAGAAAGCAACATCCCTCTGTGGTGTCTTCTTCGGGTTCTTAAGTTTCTGCCCTGACTTCCTTCAGTGATGTACTGTGACCCGGGAGGGGTAGCCAAAGGGGCACTTTCCTCCCCAAGTGACTGTAGGTCGGAGTATTTTGTCACAGCAACAAAAAGACAGGAGAACACCACCCTTCTTTTCATCCTTTCTTTATGAGAGACCGCCTACTTGAAGGAAGAAACCATAGATTGAAGAGTGGAGATAAGGGCATAGAGCTCCAGGAAGCAGCAGTGACTGGCAGACAGCATTCCCTCAGACTTCAGCGCAGTGGGTGTGGGAGTGTGCCCATCCCATCCAGGTCAATTGCATCAATACAGACTATCCATTGTTGTCACACTGCAAACCAATGGAAGGGACAACCTGTGACTCTCATTCTCATGCTTTTCTTCTCTAGGGCTATAAGCCCTGCACTGTTCTGTATGTATAGGCTGGGTACTGATGTCCCTGATGTGCTTGCCTTAGGAGAGTTTCATATTCATCACATCTTTGAGTTCTCTCTCTCTCTCTCCCCTCCTTCCCTCCTCTTTTCTGGAGAGTAAATTCAGAGCCTCATGTAAGCTAGGCAAGGACTCTATCACTTAACTATATTCCCAGACCCTTTTTATTTTGAGATAAAAACCTTATCAATATCTCGGTGGATCTTGAATTTGTTGTCCCCTTGCCTCAGCCTTCAAAGCATCTGGGGTGGACAGGCCTGATCTATCTGGCCCTGAATCTTTGATGGCCACTGTTTGGTAACACTGCATTCAATAAAGATGTAGCTGAGTTGCCGGATGTTGGTAGCAAACTCCTTTAACTCCTCCAGCACTTGGGAGGCAGAGGCAGGCGGATCTCTGTGAGTTCGAAGCCAGCCTGGTATACAGAGTGAGTTCCAGGACAGCCTGCAAAACAATACAGAGAAACCCTGTCTCAAAAAACAAAAAACAAAAAAACAAAGATGTAGCAGAACATGGCGATCTATGGTTCTGACCGCAGCACTCAGAGACTAAGGCAGGAGGATGGAGAATCTGATGTCAGCCCAGGCTACTTACCAAGGAAGGTCCTGTCTCAAGAAACAGAAGGGGGAGGTGGGGAGGAAAAGGAAGGAAGGAGAGGTAGGTATGAGTGCTCTGAATACATGGGTTTTAAATTTTAAAGAAAGTATGGAAAATGAAGTCATTGCACAAAAAGAAAGCAACTAAAACACTATGGTGAGGAGTTGCTAATCAGGGCTAGCTTTATTATCTGGTCATTAGACTTATCTCATACCTAGCAGCCTATATGAATAAGAAAGCAGAGCACCTGAAATTTTTTTCATAGAAATGGAATACATCTATTTAGAAAGGCACACTTTTTTTCTTGGCATTAAATTCCATAAGAAATACTGTATATACTCTGTGCAGTATTTTTACTCCTTATTTCATGCATATAAACAAAGTTTTTGGTCATATTCCCCATTAACTGTTTTTATTCCCCACTGCTCTACTCGCTCCCACCAAACCTCTTATTCTTCCCCACAAATCCCCTGTCATCTCTCCTCCCCCCCAAGCCTGCCCCACAGTCCCACACTGCATGTTATTAGCACTGCTTCCATGAGCGTGGTGGGGGAATTGTTTACTTGGTAAGGGCAACAGACTAGTGGCTATACCACTGAGGAATATGACTCCCCCTCTCCCAGCGATCATGAACTTATCTGTGGCTCTTCAGGGAGGGCAGGATCTCATCATGATAGAGTGTTGATGGCCCAGACGCAACAATGCACAGCATTAAAAACAATTTAGATATATTTATTCTATGTATATGAGTGTTTTGCTTGCGTGTATGTGTACCACACTCATGCCTGGTGCTTGTGGAGGTCAGAAGAGGTTCACCAGATCTCCTAGGATTAGCGTTACAGAAAGTCGTCAGCTGCCATGTCGGTGCTAGGAATTTAACTCAGGTCCTCTGCAAGATCAGCAAGTAATTTTAACCACTTAGCCAGCTCTCCAGACCTCCACAATATTTAATAGGACAAAATACTTACAATAGCATTCTTTCTCTTTTGGTCACTACAGGGGAATTGAACCCAGGACTACATACAATACCAGTCAGGCACTCTGTCACTGCCACTGAGCTATTGGTGGCATTTCTAATGCTTTCAGGACCCACACCCCATAATATTTCTTGTAACTCCTTCTCTTACCCTCTCACAAGGCCAAATGGGAAGTTTAAGCTTTAATATCTCAGTCCCCTGATGTAGGCAATACTATGGGGGCCTAAACAACAAGCATGAAAGTAAGATAATCTCTCACTCTTTTGGAAAGTTAATCCTCTTGAGGATAAGTTTTAGTCATTTGGATATAAAAACTTTTAGGGACATAGACAAGATAGTTTCATATATATCGCTTGGTTTCATAATATATGCACTTAAAATCATAGGTTGTATAAAGTACTGTGAAATACTGTTCTTTTCCAATTCACATTTTAGGAAACAAATTGTTCTAATGGGTGGCAGTTCTGTGTCATTTGATGCAATTCTCAGAGAATATCAACTTCATTTTCAGTTCCTTGGAGATGTGCCATTTTGAATTCCTATTACATCAGGTCCAACCTTTTGACCTTTGTGATACATGCTGTCATTTATGAAGTTTATGCTCAAAAAGCACACAATCGAGTCCCTTACTCTTACCCTCTGCAGAAAAAATTACAAAAGAAGAGCTCATTTGTTTTAAAGTAAGTTTGCAATTGGTACTGAGCCACACTGATAGCTGCACCCCAAACCCTAAATAAGCATTTGCATGGCATTCCTGAGGTTCCTCCATCTCACCCCTCTTCACGTGGGGGTATACTTCTTTAAAACCTATTATGTAGCCTTTGAAAATGACCTTTAAGTGGAGCTTTCGAAGGGAGGCAGTTCCTTTGGGAATTGTGATTAAATCCCACTGGCTCTTTCATTCTTTATTTAAGCAGGGGACTTGCTGAGTGCCTCAAACCAGAATTGACTGAGGTCATTCCTTGCCAGTGTGTCCTCCCCTGTAGCCCTTTGTGGTTCAGGATGTGGCCACTGAGAGAACACCTGTGATAGGAAGGTCTTCCCTGGTGGGGCAGTCAAACAAAAGCCACTTGTGTAAATCTTCACATGAGTATACTGTGTAGCCAAATGTAAAATTATGATTGCTTTTTAAAAATGTAAATAGGGTCACCATGTAATACATCATTTCTGCTTCTGAGTATGTACCCCAAAGATCTGGAAACAGGTCTTCAGAGACACACTTATGCTCCCGTGTTCATGCCAGCAATCCTCCCGCAGGCCAGAGGTCAGCAGTGACCCAAGCATATAACTGAGTATTATCCATCCTTAAAAATGATGGCCATTCTAGTACAAACCACAGTATGTGTGAACCCTGAAGACATCATGCTAAATAAAATTTCACAAAAGGATGCTGTGAGATTCTGTGTATATAAGGTGTCTATATCAGCCAATCCATGGGAGCAGAAAGTAAATAATTGAAGGATAGTGTGTAGGCAAGAAAGGACAGGGAAGTCATTATTTATGGATATGGAGGCTCCGCTTGTAAAATGAAGAGGTCCAGAGATGGGTTGCACATTAATGTGGAAACACTATTTTTGAACTACACTTTTTATTAGTCATTGGGATTGGGACATACATGTCATGAAAACACATGTGGAGGCCAGAGGATAATTTTTGAGAGTCAGTTCTCTCCTCCAACCATGTAGAAGGAAGGCAAGTCATCAGGCTTGGTGGTAACTGCATTTACCACCTTTGGGTCATCACACCGGGCCAAGTCGGCAAGTTTTATTTAGTGAATATCAGTAAAAGGAATGCATAATATCAGGTAGTGATTTGCTCAATGGATGGCTTGTGGATCAGCAATTCAGGCCCCTCCATGGAGCCTGTTGCAAACACAGACTCAAAGGTTTGCCCCAGGCCTGTGGCGTTTTCACCAAGGCTCCAGGTAGTCCTTGCACAGACTTTGAAAGAAGCCTCGTCTGGGCTGGACTATTAGAAGATGCTGCCATCTGACTCTCCAGCACCTGCTCTTTTCTTGCACCCTCCCCTGTCAAAAAACTGCCATTAGCTGAGCTTCAGGGAGGCTGAGTCACCACCCTGCGATGGTGTCCTCGAGGTCATTGACAGGGGGTGGGTGTCCATGTTGTCTGATTCTAGGCCTTGAAACCAAGGGAAGGTGATATCCCTTTAGGAACACCCAAGGAGAAATGGAGTGACCTTCCTTTGGGGAGAAGGAATCAAAGAAAATTCTGTCAGCATCTCAGAACCCAGAAGATAGATAATCTGGTCCTGATAAGGCTATTGAGACACCAATTGACAAAATCCCAGATCTCTGGCATGAGAAGCTTTTCTGGTTATGTGAAATTGGAAGTGAATCTACCGTCTAGGAGTGTTTGAATCCATATTTTCTATTATGTATAGCCCAGGATCTCTAACCTCATCACTATTGACATTTAGGACTGAATACTTCCTTTTTAAAAGTAAACGGGTTTTTAAAAATATATACAAAGCAGTGTTTCATTATGACATTTTCACACATGCATATAACATATTTTGATCACATTCTCCCTGACACCTCTTCCCTCCTGCTGTTCCTTTCTTTTTCTCAAATAGTCCCCCCTCTGTTGTTTTTAATCCAATTCTGCATATGGGAAAATACATGCAGTATTTGTCTGCATCTGGCTTATTTTGTTTAACAGAATGATCCCAGTTGTATCTGTTATCCCACAGCAAATGACATGACTGAATAAAACTCTGTTGTGTATACATACCACATTTTCTTTACGTATTCATCTGTTGATGGGCATCTAAGCTGGTCCTGTATTGTGGCTGTTGTGGCTAGGTCTAGAGTAGGCATGAGTATGCGGATGTCTCTGTGGCATGCTGACTTAGATTCCTTCAGGTATATGTCTAGGAGGGGTAGGCATATTTGGATCATGTAATAATTCTGTTTTTACTTTCTGAGGAACTTCCAAACAACCACTTTCATAGTGATTGGGTTGATTACGTCCCATCAACTGTGTGTAGTGGTTTAGGACCAAGAAATTATCATTATTAATGACAATAGAACAGTCTCACAGTATTTATTGTCCTCTAGCAATAACAGGAAGGTCATTAAAGCAGTATGGACAAATGTCTTAGAACTATTCTCCCAGTTCAAGAGAACTTAAAAAAAAAAAAAGAAAAACACAAGCGAATTGCCTTTCCTACAGTGTCTCAAGTCCTTAACAGCCTCCAGCAGATACTTTATAGCAGAACTCTGTGCACTTTTAGCATCGTCCCACCCAGTCCCCTTTCCTTTATACTCTTTTACATCATGTAATATGAGAGTCAAGTACTTGTCTAAACCAGTAACGACCCTCTATCTGCATCTTCACTCACTTATAAAATGTGTGTGGCAGTCTAAACCTGGGATCTCTCTCCCTCTCTCTCTCTCCTCTCTCTCTCTCCCTCCCTCCCTGGTCCCCTCTGTCCCTCTCCCCCTCTCCCCTTCCCCTCCCCTCCCCTTTCCCCTCTCCTTCTCTGCCCCCTTCCCCCCTCCTCTTTCCCCTCCCCCTCCCTCTCTGCCCCCTCCCCCCTCCTCTTTCCCCTCCCCCTCCCTCTCTGCCCCCTCCCCTCCTCTTTCCCCTCCCCTTCCCTCTCTGCCCTCCCTCTCCCTTCCTCCCTCTCCTGATCCTCAAAGCCAGGTCCCATGCTTATAAAGGAAAAGTGCCCGTATGAGTATCGACTGGAGGTACCCTAAAGACTCTGAAACAAACCCCTAGCCACTGGAGTCTCCTCACTCCAAACAGCCCCTGCTTTCTCAAAGCTACCTGCCGTTACCCTCCAGTCTACCCAAGCCTTCCTCTCACCTACCATTGATTCTCCGTATCTACTGTCTGTGGACTTGCCCATTGGATTCCAGTAGCCTGGCCTCCCAATTTGGCAACCAAGGATTACTCCCATGGAGCCAATTCACCCCCGAGTGAGATTCACTGAAGTCATCCTAATGAACACTAAGATCTTTCACAGTGATCCCTGCTGTGGGACTTGGAGGTGTTTGGAGGTATTTCAAGGAGCTGAGTGGGTTCAGCTGTGGGAAAAACAAACAGCAAATTGTTTGGGTCTTTGATGGGGCTGGCACATTGATAACATTGTTGTAGTTTCCATTTGTTCTTAAGTCTAATGGGTGAGGTTTATCTTAACAGATGGCTAAGGTGGATAGTTGGTGGAATTTTCCCTCAGTAAAATTAGCATGGCCCCATGGGACTTCCAGGCTATTCTTCATTCAGAAATCCTGAGCCTGGCCTGTGCCCCAGCAGACCACTAATTCCAACCATCACCTTGTAGGCCCACAGGTGCTGAGGAGTTCATCTGCTGATGTTGCCCCTAAGCAGTCTTGTGTGTTAGGAAACAACACACAGATAAAAAGAGTGGTTAGAGCCCTCCATATCATGGGTAGGGTTCCTGCATCTACAGATCTGAGTGGCCGTGTCACAGGACCCTCCACAGCCTCTCCTATCTTCTCTCCTTCCTAGGGTCTGCTGACACACAGAGCCCTCTAAAACCAGAGTCTTCAGATCCATCTTTTCTCAAAGGGTTTAGTTTCAACTCAAGGTGTTCCAAAACGAACCGGAAGACAAGAAGGCTTACAAGAGGAGATCTGCTTCGCAGAAAGGTCAGAAGGCTGGAGGGGAATGAAGAGGCTGGATGCATTTAGTCACACATTTATGTTGTCAAGTGTCTACCATGTGTCAGTCATGGTACCCGATGCACCAAGAAAGGGCTCCGGTGGGGGAGGGAAGGCCATGAGGAGGCAATGGCAGCCCCTAAGTCCCATGATCTCCTGAGGATTTATGTGGTAGATATTCTCATTTTCTATTCTGATGCTGGGTAATTATCCCTGGCAACATGGTAAACACCCCAGTTTTTGACCCAGCGCCCCCACCCAGGCAGCATATGAGCTTTGCAATCTTAGAGGAAGAACATACATATCAGGCTGAAACTTCTGTTGTAAGGCCTTTCATATGACAATATGGACTAGAGACCACATTTGTTAAGGCTCTGTTGGGAAAAATGACTCTGTTTACCTTTTGGAGAGGGAGTGCTGTTTGCAAAAGCCATGGCAGGCCCTGGTGTAACCAGGCTACTTCTGAAAAGAATTTAAGCCAAGAACAAGGGAAGGCTGAGTCAAGAGAGCAGTTTGGACTTTTTGATATTGTGTGCTAATTGAATCTTGTGTGAGCCATTTTAAACTGCATTCCTTTTATCCCTCAAATCACAAACTGAAACTGAAAACGCAAACATCAGGAAAAGGATGCTGCATTGAGCAAGCCTTAAATGTGGGCTCAGTTGAGAAAAGATGTTCAAGCCAGGGCAGCAAGGAAGGTGGTGATCTTTGCTCAGCAAAAAACAAAAGCTGGTTATAAACCTTGTGCTCATAGAACCAATGCTATGAGGCATTGCATATTCCCCAAATTCCTTAGTTTTGAGGATTAAACCCAGGATGTTTCAAATGCTAGGCAAGATGCTCTACCATTTGTGCTAATTTGACTGGATTAAAAGGCTTCTAGAACTGGTGTCTGTGGGGTATTTCCAGAGTAGATTGGCATGTAAAACAATGGCTGGGGGTGAGGATGGCCTGCAATTAAGTGACCTCATTTAATTGGCTAGGGACTTGGATCGAATATATACAACTCTTTTTTTTTCCCCTTGGGTGAGTGTGACAAGTCCATTGAGGCAGAAAAGGCGTGATGGGCATAGCTCATGGCGGTGGGAACATCTGACAGGGATTCCTCACATTGCAGCAGACTAGAAAGCAGAAGATACAGGTCAGAGCAGTGGTGAGTCTGAACTTCAAAGGCCCCCACCCTTCGAGACCTAGTTTCTTCTACCATAGCCCTTCTTTGGGAAAAGGCTCCATGCCCTTCAAAATAGTACCTCAAACTGGGGACCAAATCTTCAAAATATGGGCTGGTGGGGGGCATTTCACACTGTGACAGAGTCCAGAGTATGGGGAGTTTGGTTTTGTTTGTTTGCTATTGGGTGGTTTCATTTGTTTGTTTTAGCTTCTGAAGATCTATACAGGGCCTTATGACCATCAGGCAAGTGTCTCACAGCTGAGGGCCATTCCTAGGCCTGGTGTGAACATCTTGTAGAAGAGATTCAGGATACCGGCTACTGCCAGCAGTCTTTTTTTTTTTTTTTTTTTTTTTTAGAACAAGGGTTTTCTGTGTAGCTTTGGAGCTGTCCTGGAACTCACTCTGTAGACCAGGCTGGCCTATTACTCACTGAGATCTGCCTGCCTCTGCCTTGCAAGCCAGCAGTCTTGATAAAGAAGTGGGATGGTCTCAATTGTACTGCATCTAACCCCGATGCTTTATCAGCCAACTATCACAGAGTCTGATAAAAGCTAAAATACAAGCATGCCAAAAATATCAGGGGGCTAAGAGAGAGGACAGGTTAGCTAGCCAAAGAAAACAGTTCTTTAAAAACAAAAAACAACGTGTTTCCTTATGACATTTTATTTTATTTTATTTTTTGGTTTTATGAGACAGGGTTTCTCTGTATTATTTTGGAGGCTGTCGGTCCAGCCTAGCCTCGAACTCACAGAGATCCGCCTGCCTCTGCCTCCTGAGTGCTGGGATTAAAGGTGTGCGCCACCACTGCCCGGCTGACATTTTCTTTTAAAACTTGATATTTATTATTATTGTGGTGGTGAGTATATGTGCCACGGTATGCATATGGAGATCGGAAGACAACTTCACTTCTGTTGCCATGACAAATGCACTAACAAAAAGCAACAGGGGGAGGAAAGGATTAATTCCAGGTCACCATCATTGAGGGATATCAAGGTAGGAACTCAAGCAGCTACTCACGCTTCATCCACAGTCAAGAGCAGGGCAGAGAGAAAGGAATGCACTCGAGCTATCTGCCTGCTCGCTAGCCTCCTTCTGGTTTGTGTAGTTCAGCAACCTTTGACTAGGGAACAGTGCTGCCCACAGTGCGCCAGCTCCTACATCAATTAACAATGCAATATGGACACACATGCCCACAGGCTGACCCGATCTAGCCAATCCCCCATACAGGCTCTCTTCCCCAGGTAATCCCAAACCGTGGCAAATTGACATTTTAAACTTAACCATCACATATGGGTTTAGACAATTAAACTCAGGCTGTCAGGCTGGTGGCCAGTGCCTTTACCTAGAGTCACCTTACCAGATCAACAATCATTTCTTTTTGTGTGTTGGGTGAAAGAGATGGAAAGGAGCTTGGAATTCTTAACATTTAACTCACCTTCAGTTGTCATGGGGTTGGACTAACTCATCCACGGCCATCAGCACACTTCTCCAACTTGGTAGGAAAGGAAGCACCTCCGGCACAGGACAGCACACCTGGCATTTAAAATCCCCATGAGATGTTGAATGACAGACTCCAGTCTGCCATCTGCTACCCTCCATCCCTGGGACAGAGGGACCTCCCCAGTGTCCAATGTAGTTTGAGCAATCAGACATCTCCTAACCCTTTCTCCTCCCCATATCTGATGCAGGAGATGGACCACATGTCTCCTAGGCTGAGAGCCTTCCTCTCTGAACCCATTGGGGAGAAGGATGTTGCCTGGGTGGATGGAATCAGCCGTGAGCTTGCCATCAATTTGGTCACCAAAGGTTTCAACAAGGTGCGCAGTTATTTCTTCTCTAACTCCTTTTTCTAACCTGTCTTCCTCTAGCCAGATGGCAGCCCCTGCCACATGCCCCAGTGAGTGGCCATCAGAGAAAAAAAGCTGCCACTTGGCAGGGTGCCACAGACTTCATTGCCACCGTCCTCACGTGCTTAGGAGCCCCCATGATAGCAGATAGAATTGTTTCCGTGCAGAGCAACAAAGGCTGACAGGGTCTGCTCAGTACTCAAACACTCAGGATTTGATAGAGACAAGTCTGCTACTGAAGTCTGGGACAGAACTGTCAGGACCAACGACTTGGGTGTACTCTCCGCCTCCAGGAAAGGGCCCATGGCTTCTCGCTTGTCTCTGTCAGGGTACCATCATGACAATGGCATGTTGAGAGCCAGCAGCTTGGGAGCTCCACCTGGGAGAGGAGATAAGAGTCATTCTAAAATTCATTCCTAATCGCTGGGGGTGGTGGCGCGTGCCTTTAATCCCAGCACTCGGGAGGCAGAGGCAGGCTGAACTCTGTGAGTTCGATACCAGCCTGGTTTACAAGAGCTAATTCCAAGACAGCCTCCAAAGGCACAGAGAAACCCTGTCTTGAAAAAACAAAAACAAACAAACAAACAACAACAACAACAAAAAAGATTCATTCCTAGCCTACGGATGGCCTCAGGTGTAGTGAGTGGAATTGGAATGGGTTAGTTTAATTTCCATTGCTATAACAAAATACTCGACTCTGGGGACTTAGTAGAGAAAGGATTTCTGCTTAGCTCATAGTTTTGGACATTAAAAGCCCACTATTAAGTGACATTATGTGTTTGACCTCTGATGAGGATCCTTCCAGACACATCACAGCATGGTGGGATGGTATCATGGGCAGGATCTTGTTTGAGGAGATCACAGGGTAAAATAGAGAGCCAGAGGGTGGAAAGGGACCATTCTGCTCTTTTGTTTATTCATTTGTTTTGGACTTTGGATTTAATTTAGGGACTTACATTTGCTAAGCGTGTCCTCTGCCACAAGCTATGTCCCCAAGGTCCCATTCATGCCCTTTTATACAAATTGCTCTCTTAAGAATCAATCAGGGTCCCATGAGAACTATATTGTTCCCTTCCAAGGGCAATGCCATTAATGACCAAGTTATCTTCCACAAATATAACAAAAACATTTGGAGGTTAGGAACTGCTGCATGTATATATTTTGTTCTATGCCCAAATCCTAATGTCTGGGCCCTTGGTTTCTGACTGACATGCTACACTGTACCTGTTATTACATGCTATGAATCTCACCCCCTAACTCGGCCAAGTGATATCAGTTCATGGTACTGTCAGAGTGGAGCTACGTGGTTGAAGGGACTTTATGCTTTCTTGCTTGAAAAAGGATGAGGACTATTCCCAAGCAGCTAAGGAAAGCAGGCAAGTCTGACTATGGGAGAATTTTTTAATTAAATAGCTTTTTCTTTAAAGAAATGATTATTCTTTTCAATTTTTTTTGCATTAGTTATTTTTCTCTTGGTTGTGACCAAATACCTAACACAAAACAACTTAAGGAAGGATAATTTATTTTGGCTCATAGTTCAAAGTCACATAGTCATTATGGTAGGGAAGGCATGGTCCATGAAGTTGTTAGTAAGCAGGGGAAGGAGAATGCCAACACTCATCTGGCTTTCTCCTTTGCCTTCTTTTACTCTGTCTGGGCCTCCATCCATAGGATGGTACAACTCACATTCAAATGGGCCATTCTGCATTCGCTAATTCTCTCTTAAAACAACTTCACAGACAAGCTTAGAGGTGTATCTCCTAGGGGATTTCTAAATCCAGACATGTTGACAATGAAGATAAAGCAACACATTCCTCTACTGTGTAATATACACACAGTATGAAGTGTTGAACCCAGTGCATTTTACATAGATAGATATGTCCATATACCTACCACCTAGGTCGAGGGACTCGACACCTCCCAACTTCCAGGTGGCCTCTGAGACCTGCTCCCAGCCAGAGTGAACCCCATCCCCAAAGGTGCCCATTGTTCTGCTATCTACCATGTTTCCATAATTATGCTGTTCCTTTATGCTCACCATTAAAAAAATATTCTTATTAAGGTATAATTGTATACAGTGACTTTATCCTTTTTTATCATATAGTTCTATGACTTTTGTCTGTTTCATTGTTTAGAGATAGGGTCTTACTGGGATTCAGGCTGGCTTAGAGTCGTTGCATAGCCTAGGCTAACTTCAAATTTGCTGTTCTTCTACCTTGTTTTCCTGTATGCTACAGACATAGGCCACTACACACAGCAGTTCTGTGAGCTTCTACAAATGCATGGTGGGGTAGCCATTACACAAGACAAAGAGCGACCCAAACTCTTCAGTCATTCCCTGTGCCTTGAAACCCAGCAACTTGAGTTTCTTCTGCTTTGTTTTGTGGCCCTGTCATTGTTGCCTTCTCCAGCTCAACTGTGTTCTAAGGATTATAGGTAGAGAGACAGATGTGGTAGAGATGACAGAATGAATGAATAAATGGACATTTTCCAGGTTTCTGACTCTGACCTGCACACTCAATACAATAGGGAGTACCTATGGACATCTTGGTCCACAGGCAAGAGCTCTCTTTATGCTCATGACCAACATGACCAGCACAGTGTCCAGCATTCCACTCAAGGCCCCTAGCATTCCCAGAGCTACTGATTCCTGACACTGGTGGGGACTGGTAATTGTTGTCCTTTGTTTTGAGTTTCTCTACCTTTGGAGGTCATTATAAATGGAGGCATGGCAGGTGTGACTCGGTGCCCATGCTTGCCCATCACCTGAGAGGATCTGAGTTCCTTATCCAACACCACATTAAGATACAACACAATACAAAGTAATATAATCAGGTAAAAGAAAAATGCAGACCAGAGGCTTTGGAAGTTGGCTCTCTGAGGTCCCCAGGGGGATTAAAAATGGCCATAGGTTGTACTGTCATAAACAACACAAGAAGACTCACACACTTATACCCAGCAAGAAGGGGCTTAGGTTAGGATTTGGTAGTTAAAAAAAAAAAGATTTGGTAGTTATATTCCACATCAGCTCCTGGGCCCATATGAGTACCCAGGAGGATGCCCAGATGTGTCCCCTACAAGATGAACAAATGTATCAGGATGCTGATGGATCTGTGGACGAGGCCAGAATGACAGCATCCAGGATAAGTAGATTCCATAAATCAGGGCTAGTCAACAAAAATGCAGCCATGAGGTACTTATTTTCAGCCCACAGGGGACCTTCAGGGAGGGGTCTTTACAGGGCCTCATCTTGCTCTGTCTTTACCAGCCTCTGTGAGGCGCAACCATCATTTTCTTCTTCTCTCCCCAGGCTGAGTTCTCATCTTTGCCCTGAGCAAACATTGCCTCAGGGGCCACACTTGCTTACAAAACATTCTTGACATTTTCCCACGGGCACTGGCTCTCTCAGCTCCCTCAGTGCCCTTGCTAAATACCTGGTGGAAGGCAGGTTCATGGGATGCCCAGACTCTTTACTAGGCCACCAGCTCTCTCCAGGGTCACCAGGAAGCTGAATACACAGGGAACAAGAAGTCATTAATTAGTCAGCAAGGAGGCCCCCACCCATTTATCGCCTCTCTAGGGATATGGCCTGAATTGAGCAGATGTCTTTCCTAATTCTCACCAGTCCTTCTAGCACCTTCTCCCCTGCCCGGGCTGAGCTTCCATCTCTCCAGCAAATGACTGGCATTTTAGAAGGGGAATGAGTATCCCCTTCTTTACCCCCAGAGCCTTGACTACATCAGATAGACTACTGGTCTACCCCACATGGTTAAACCATGATTTTTAATACTATGATTCACAGGGTGCAGGAGTGTGTGCCTGCAGTTTCAGTGACCTGGGAGATTGAGACAAGACAGTTATTTCAGCCTATAAATTCAAGACCAGCCTGGGCTAGGGAGATGGCTGAAGGAGTAAATTATTTGCCATGCCTGAATATGATCCCCTGAATTCACACAAAACCTAGTGTGATAGCGTATGTCTGCAATACATACATACATACATACATACATAGAGCAAGTTGGGAGGCAGAAATGGGAGACCCCTGTCTTACACAGTGGCAAACAAGACTTGCAAACTGGAAGGCAATGGTTGACACCTGAGGTTGTCCTTTGACCTCTACACCCGCGTGCTATGGCACATAAGTGCCCCCCCCACCCCACACACACTCCGACACTTGATTGCTCTCTCTCTTCCTCTGTCTTCCTCCTTTATCTCATGTGTGTGTGTGTGTGTGTGTGTGTGTGTGTGTGTGTGTGTGTGTGTGTGTGTGTGTGTGTGTTTGAGGCTTTTTCTTTAAGAAGAAAACATTAACTATTGACTCACCTGAACCTCTTCAGGGGCTCAGAGGCCAAAAAATGTGACTGGTCTTTCTAGTTGCTCAGCATCCGCTGTTCACTGGGGCCATCAACTCTGGCCTGAGGACCTAAATGCAGTGGTAGCCACTAGCCCTGTGTCTGCTAAGCTCTTGTCTGCATGAGATGGGCTAAAAATATCAAACATGCTCTTTGATGCTGAAGCTTTCCCCCAAAAAGGAATGTGAAACATCTCTTAACATTTTTTATTGATTACATACCGAAATAATATTTTGAAAATATGGAAGAAAATAAAGTATATTATTGGAATGCATTTCATCTTTTTTCTTCTCCCTTATTCCTTTTATGCCCTCTAGTACATTAAAATTACTTCCGTGGCTAGCTTATGTATTATTTCACCTGGATAGCACTGGTCAAGAGTTAACAGTGGCAGGAGAGCCGCTGGGTAGAAAGGGATAATATGAATGGAAAATCCATCATGCACAAGGTGTTAGACCTACCATGGACAGGCCAGAGCAATGTTTCCCTACTCACTGCCCCCCCACACACAGTCAGACTAGGAGCATGAGCATCTATGGACACACCCTCTTCCAACTTAGGGTCCTTGAAATGGCCAGTCTCATGCCAAAGTCATTCTGTTGTTGCCGCCTTCCTCATGTCGCCAGGTTCTCAACGCTGAACTACTGAGAAACCTGTTTTCTCCTGTCCTCTGCTGGCACTGGACCCTACCATCTGACGTATGAGCCATGCATGAAACCAGCCACTTAAGTTTGGAGGTTACTCTGCATACTGTGGTGAGATAAAGGGATCCAGTGAAAGTTGAATTTTTAAAAGAAATGGATAATGTAACAATATGTGCATATCTCAGGAGCATAGAGAAGAGAAAGGAAGACCAGAACCTGCTGTAGATTGGGCACTCACACTGAAGACTTGTGCTTTAAGCCTGGAGTAACTGAGAAACACTGGGTTTGCGACTGAAGCAGGCATGTCCAGAAAAGTCATATAATCACAGCAGGGTCTTGCAACAATGGGAGGCACACTCTGTCCTGGGGCCTGGGAATTGCTGATTGAGGGCAAGGGAAATTTGATAATAAGAGACGCCATGAAAGTTCATCTCAGTCTGACAAGGCCAGGTGACCTGAAGGCTCAATGAGTGCAGATTAGGGCCAGCTACCTGGTTTTCAGGGCCCAATGCAGAATGACAAGATGAGACCTTTTGTTTAAATGTATTAAGGCTTATCACTTTCCAGCCTTTGGGCTGACATCAAGTGTAAATAAGATAGCATTAAAAGGAGTCTATGGATGGTCTGCATGCAGGGTCCCAGGCAACTACACGGATCAGCCTCTGCAGATTCAGATAAAATAGCTGCTGTTAACAAGGACACTAGTCATAAAGACCAGTTCACGCAGCCTGGGAGAAGACCCTGGCAGAGTTTCCCTGTATGGACTTGGAGCAAGTCTGCCCCTCAGCCACCATCTGCTACTGCAGGAAGAAATGTTCCTCCCCGTCTGTGGCATGGCCACTGGCCAGGGTAATAGAAGGTAGAAAGTCCTACCTGGGGTGTCTGTGATTCTATACTACCCACTTGCCTCAGGGTTTCTGGTTAGAGGTTCATTTTCTGGAGGTAGTAGGGAAACCAAAAATGGCATTGAACAGAACCATGACAAGAGCCATAGACTCCCCCTTCCCTGGGGAGCAATGTGAAGCCCTTGAGAATAGAGCGGGAAGGCAGTCCATCTCTGTACTCTCTGGAAGATGCCAGTGTGGGACTCCAGGGAAAGCCCAGAAGGATGGAGGCTCAGATTGCAGCTTGGCTCAGAGACCCTTCTCCAGCCTGCCACGTTCCTGGAAAGCTTGCCTGGGTCCCGCCTACCACGCATTCCTGGGCTTCCTGGCTGCTGAGCCCTGCCATCTGCAGAGGCTCTGATTACCACACCAGCTGAGGCTGTGACCAGCCTTAGAAACAGGCAGAGGATGCCTTCATCTCCAGACTGGACTATGTCTCCAGATAGCTGGGATATGGAAGAGGAAGAGTAGGTTGGCCAGAGGAAGAGGGAGCCTCAACCTCTCAGGTGTCCCTTGTTTGGGACACCATCTAAAGAATAGGGTGGTTGGGGCACCCATGAAAATCAAATGTGTTAGTTTAATAGGGTGGCCTGCCAACAGCCTCAAAAGTTTCAGTGGCTATTTGTCATTCTTTCTCCTGGTGTTGAGGACCACATCAAGGACCTTGTGCCTTGGAGAGTACTCTACTACAGAGCTAAGCCTCTGAGCCCTACAGCGGGTCGTTACAAATCTCACTGATGTTTCTTCTCGAGTGAAGCTCTAAGTGGACCCTGTTGTACTCACCTAGACACTTCCACAACCTCAGCATAGCCCTCATTGACCACTTAGTGAACACCAGTGCTTTGAACTACTGATTTAAAACCATCTCAGCAAAATCCATCAGTGAAAATGGGAGGATACTGATTAAAAACATGAGATTGTGCTAAGACACTGGATTTTTTCTTTATATTTTTAAATAAAGTTGTACCTTAAAATTGCTGCAAATGCATAGCTCCTTTCTCTTTTCAACAATATCTAAAACTAAACCCTAAGGTGGTAGTAGAGTACTTACCTGTGTGCAAAGCCCTGGATTTATCCCAGCTCTGCTACAAATAAATAACAAATAAATAAAAAACTACCAACTCTAATGCTCCAGCACCTTTTGTGACTAGGATTCCGCTTTTATTTGATCTTTTATTTGATCGCACACACATATCCCCTTTAAGATGAAATTTTGTTTTGTTTTATGTAACGGAAAGTCAACACACAGCCAATAGCAGATTTTCCTGGGAAGGGCCCAGAGCTTGAAGGTATGGATAGAAGCTGGGTCTCCTTCCTTCCAGGCTAGAAAGAGAGTCCTCAAGCCAGGCCCCAGCAATAAATATATACTGTGACCTGAAATCTGGCCTCTGCCATGTAGTGGCTGTCTCCATGCATGGCTCTACTGTCTTGGTCCTTGCTAATAACAGTCTGGTGAAGACGTAAGGGGGCAAGAAGACAGAAAACTCATGACTGCAAAATTGCTAGAGAACCAGGAATCAGGGTGCCTTCTATGTGTTTTACATTTTCCCTCTTTGTTTTGGGGTGTGTGTGTCATGTGTGTTACATGCACATGGGTGGACATACAAGGGCTGAAGTAGGATGTTAACTACCCTGCTCTGTCTAACTTTCTTGAAACAGCATCTTCACTGAATCTGTAGCTAGGCAGTTGACCAGCAAGCCCCAACAATTTCTGAGCCCACAATGCTAGGGTTAGAAGTATATTCATTACCTTCTTATGGGATACTTGGGACTTGAACTCAGGTCCTCTTGCTTGCACAGAAAATATTCTTACTCACTGAGCCATTTCCCCAGTCTCTAATTTTTTAAATGAAGTTTTCGAGTTGACATACAAAATACTGGCATCTGTAGTGGCATTTTCTTTCATACATCTGTGCCATTATACTTTGCTCATGTGTTTTTTTATTCATAGATATTCTCAGGAAATTATATTATCAGGGGTTTCCAGAGAAACAGAACAAGGAGATTATATATAATTATTAGAGATTTGTTTATTATTTAATTTTGCACAATTAGAGCCTCCACCTTGGCTGTCCACAGACAGGAGAGACAGGGAAATTGGTAGCTTGTTGCTCAGTCTGTGAAGCGGAAAAGCTCATTCAGAGAGAGAGAGAGAGAGAGAGAGAGAGAGAGAGAGAGAGAGAGAGAGGTCCAGTGACACAGCTCCAGTCTGAGACTTGAAAAATAAGGTCAAGGTTAAGGATGATTTATGCTGTCTGCACTGTTCCCTCAGGGATGATTGTCCTCAGCATTTGTGTCTTCCCTTGCTGTTCCATTTGACACAGGCAGGGCAGGGCAGGGAAGGGCAGTGCTGTGCCTCAGGTTCTCCTATCCACTGAGATCACACAGGTAGTTTTCAAAGCCAAATGGATGCTACCATGGCCTTCACCGGCCAGCCACACCCGCAGTGGTTCTCAAGCAAGAAAGATTTCTTGAAAATATTCTGGAAATCCTTATGATTGCTTCTGTCTTGGAGACTAGGGAAGGTGCTACTGGCATCCAGGGGATAGCATAGATGCTACTAAATGTCCTGCAATGCACAGGACAGTCCCCTTAATGCAGAATCATCCAGTATGCTAGTGGTACTAAGGTTGAGGTGCCCTATATTCCTGCCATTGAGAAAGCAGTGGGCTAAGGAGTCATACTCTAGGTTGGCTTTGTATATATTTTGAAGTCGGAATACTTGGACTGCAGATACAGCTCAGTTGTAGACTACTTGCCTAGCACATGCAAGATTAGATTTAGTCCACAGTGTGCACATGTATACCCGCCACCACCACCAAAGAAAAGATTAAATGACAAGTCTAAAAGGAGTTCAGAGGTATGCTAGCCACCTACTCCCTGTGTTTCCAAAACACTCATTGGCCCATCCTCATCTGGGAGCCAATTAGAAATAGGCACCCTTGGACCCCACCCTGAATTTAGATGCTGAGTCAGAAACTTTGCTTTTTACAAACCCCAGAGAACGTTTTCAAGTTTGAGGACAAGGCCTAGTTATTACTGCAGGATGACTTCCTTAGAACAGGCCTGAGAGACACCTGTGATTAACTTGACCTCACCTTTCTCCGGGGCTTGTCAGGAGTCGACCTGAAGACTGGCCCCTCCCATCCCAACCTTTGGCTGTCAACTGAGTACGGAGGGTGGGGGAAGACAGGCAGTTCTGCGTGAGACTCTGATAACCACGGCTTCCTCCCACCTGTTCCTCTTCCCAGGCCTACATCCTGCTGGGACAGTTCCTTCTCATGCACAAGAACGAAGCAGAGTTCCAGAGGTGGCTCATCTGCTGTTGCGGTGCCACAGAGCATGAAGCCCGCCAGAGCTCCACCTGCCTGAAGGAGTGGTGTGCCTGCTTCCTGTAAACACCTGGCCCAGCCACTCTATCCCAGATACAAGATACAGCCACCACCTACACCCAGGCTCCAAGTGATTGCTTAGGTTTCTAATTTTATTATCATTTGTGTATGAGTGTGTACGTGTGTATGTATGGCTGCGTGTGTGTGAACATATGTGTATGATGTATACAAGTGTACCCCTTGGGGAGAATGATGGTTGACACCAGAAGTTGGCACAGCTTTCTTTTTCTATTGTTTTCCACCTTACATTTTTAGACAAGTTCTGTCACTGAACTAATTTGGCAAGACTAGCTGGCTATCAAGTATCAGGAATCCCCCTGTCTCTAGACACGTGCCACCATACCATTTGATGTGGGTGCTAGGGATTCAAACTTGGGACCTCTTGTTTGTGTGCTGTCATAGTTAGGGTTTCTATTGCTGTGAAAAAAAAAAACTACGACCATGGCAACTTTTATAATGGAAAATACTTAATTGGGACTGGCTTACAGTTTCAGAGGTTGAATTCATTGTCATCATGGTTCACCATGGCTCACTGTAGCTGAGAGTTCCACATCTGGATCAGCAGGCATCAGGAAGTGAATGTCACACTAGGCGTGGCTTGAGCATATGAGACCTCAAAGCTGCCTCCATTGACACACTTCCTCCAATAAGGTCACAGCTCCTAATAGTGATACTCCCCGTGGAACTATGGGGGCCATTTATATTCAAACCACCACATGTAAACATGAGTTTTCTGGCCCAACAGGTCCCGTGGCCCTTGAGCCCCAGAGAAGCACATGAATGCTATATTAGTTATAAAGCTGTTGGCTGATGGCTTGAGCTTCTTACTAGCTAGCTCTGTCTTAATTATTTACCCATTTCTATTAATCCATGTATTTCCACGTAGTCCTGGCTTACTGGAGAATGCCGGACCTGCAATTCCTTTGCCTTCTGCATGATATCTGTCCAGCGTGTCTGCACAGAAGAGAGCGATTTCCTGTTTTTCCTTGCTTATATCCTGATTCTGTCCAGCTATGTCACTTCCTGTCTGGCCAATCAGCCAATCAGTGTTTTATTCATTAACCAATAAGAGAAACATACACAGAAGAACGTTCCCCATCAACCACATGTGACAAACACTTTACTGATTGACCCATCTCCCCAATTTTTGCATGTGCACTCACACACACAGTCACACAAATTGTTTTATTTTTTAATTTTTGAGACAAGAGTCTCCCTCTATAATTCAGGCTGGCTTGGAACTCACTATGTAACCTCAGCTGGACTCAAACTTCTACGTTGTGATTACAGGTGTGAACCACCATGTGTGGCTTTTCCTTAATGATGCATGAGTATCTTAAGGGTTTATGAATATAATTAAACAAGAAATTCACCTTGAAACACACCCAGAAACCTCCATCACTCACTTTAGATGATATAGTGCCAAATCGATCTCTCCAAAACTAATGTGTCCTCATCACCGGGACTTCCACGGGGCTGCTCATGGTACAGCATATGAAGAGGAGAGAGAAGAACACAGAGGCAGAGAGGATACCACATTGCTTCCTGTGACCTGCTTGATTTCATAGTCTAGTTTTTAGAAGCAATCCCTCTTCCTTGAAACAGCAAGGAATGAAGACGTGCTTTTAAGACCATCGATGTTGGGATTTTTAGGTACAACTCCAAACAGTGAAACTTGCTTTCAGTACAGTGCTGCCTCACGCAGCCATCCATCCCTCCCCACTCCCAACCTGGCAAATTTTTGTCTTTTCTAGAAATTCATATAAATGGAATAACATGGTGTGTAGCCATTTGAGGTTGGCTTTTTAGATTTAGCATAATTCAGCTGATACTAATCTACTTTACAGGCTTTTTAAACTCCAAAAGGTTTTACTTGGTGGAGTATTTGCCTTTCCCTGCTGGCATTCACTTTTCCAGTAAAGTTCAACAGTTTCTCTTAGGACATATGATGCCCTCCTCTAGGACATATGATGTCTCTCTGGCTACAGGAGCAGGAGTAGCCTATAGAGGTAGGAGAAGGAATCATGCAGTCGATAACGGGGTGGGGGGTGGGGGAAGGAGGGATGGGTAAAGTTGGTGGAAAAACAGTATCCTTGTCATCTGGACAAGGACAGCCCTAAAACAGGCACCCCAGTAGGGCTAAACCCCACTTATCCAAAGTAGTCATTTTCTCCTTATGTCCTGTGTCTATGCCCTTTTCCTCCAACCTCACACTCCTGCCAGAGACTGATTCCTGGGATCCCTCCCGTCTCAGTGTTCTCTGTTGCTGTGATACAATATCTTGGCAACTTAAGAGAGAAAGGGTTTGTTAGGCTCACAGGTTCAGGTTACAGTCTATCTGGAAGGTTTGCCGAAGCAACAGGAGCTCCAGCGGGCTCCATTGCACCCACAGTCAAGAAAAGAGCAATGGATGCCTGCAGCTTCCTTTCTCCGTTTAAATAGTCTCGGATCCCAGTCAGGGAAGAGTCACAAGCAGTGGGCAGGTCTTCGCATCTCAGTGAACACAAGAAAATCCCCCACAGGCCTTCCCAGCAGCCCATCTTGAAGTGATTCTAGCTTCTGTCAAATTGACAAAATTAGTCATCATACCTCCTTCCTCCCTGTGCCACCCGAAATACTCAAATTTAATGCCTGAGTTGGCTTCTCGAAGTCAACCTAAGACAAGAATGTTGGCGTCTATTTTTATTTTAACAAGAAAAGTAGAACTAAAGAAACTACTGAATTTTACTGAATTCCTTTCATCATTAGACATAGTGATACATTTCTGAATCAAGGATTTACAGGCATGAGAATTGAGTTCAATAGTGGAGTATTTGCCTAGCATGCATGGTACTTTGGTTTGAGGCCCAGCAAGAAAATTCTAAAAAAAAAAAAAAAAAAAAAAGAAGAAGAAGAAAGAAAGTAAACAATACAGAGAAACCCTGTCTCATAAAAACCAAAAAAAAAAATTTAAAGTATAGGACCAGAGAGATGACTCATGACTTAGCAGTTAAGACCACTGACTTCTCTTCCAGAGGACCACGTTCGATTCTGAGTGCCTACAACCATCTGTAACCCCAGTCCCAGGGGATCCAGTGCCCTCTCTGGCCACTTTAGGCACCAAGTATGTGTGTGGCACACATATTTACATGCAAGCAAAACATTCATACACATAAAAATGGAGATTAAAAAATTCAAAGTATAACAGGAAGGAGAAACAGTATCACTGGGTTTAAATGACAGTTTTTAATGATAGATGATGCGAATTCATCTATCATTAAAGAACTATATTTAATTTTTCCTCAATTCACATTTATTGGTTTTATTGATACTTCCAATTTCTTTAAGTTTTATAACATTTACATTCTTCCCATAAGCATAATCTCTGTTGTATATTTCAGCACCTAAACAATTTTTGTTAGTGCCAGAATTTTCAAGGTCATGGTTTTGCTATCCCAGATTCTCCAATGCTCCTCTGAGTTGCCCCTTATCAATCATCACAGGCAGGACTTTACTGGTTTAACCCCCTCAAAAGTGACTTGGCCAACAAAGGTTGCCTTCTCTCTCATGTTACATGTCTGTTACATGACATCAGGAGAGCTGCCTGGTCATCATTCTTTGACTTAGATGAAGAGATCCCTTCTCTACACCAATGTCTATGATAATTAAAACAGGAAGGAGCCAGGGTAAAGTCTCTCCCCAGAAGTTATACATCCTACATGCATTCATCTCTCATATTGCCCTCCCCCACCTCTAAAGGGGGTAGTTCTTTTCTGAATCCATAAGAAATGGGAAAGCTTAAAGACCATACTTATCAAGACCGTTATCATCAATTAAGCTCTTTATATTTTTCCCGGAATGCCTCACTGAGGTACTTTCTGACATTATAACATGTTGGGCTATCTCAAGAAGAGCCTGCCCACTCCAGCTCCTCTTCCTTTTTTTCCTCATGGAGAAAGCAGGAGTTAAACAACTCTGCCTTCTGAGAGCTCTGAGAGCTCAGTTCCTGACCACCCAGTCTGCCCATTCTCCCTCTTCATAACCCATCCTTGAATAATTCTTCTCATGTATTTAGAAGTAATTCATTTTGGAGCACAGGAGTTGACTGACTCCAAAGGAAAAGAAAAGGTGGTTTTTGTCTCAGTCTATTTCCACTTCCCCCAACACTTTTGAAATTCATCCCTTGGACCAGTGATGTCTAGAATCATACAGGGGTGGTAGGGAGATGAGAAACCTACAGGATATGAGACCATCAAAACTAGAGGACCTCAACAGAGGGATTTTGTGTAGTGAAGGCAAGAGCAGCTCTTCACTATATAACATGATTTGTAAGATATCAGAGTGAACACTGTTCCCCAAGCCTTACTCAAGGCAAGGAGTTTCCTTCATCACTCATTCATTATCTTGTCTTTGTAGATGAACTAATGGCCTTCATTCTTCAGTAAAATTGTCCAGTCTTCACTTCCATTAGAAGCCTGCTTGTGTCCTGTGATCTTGCAATCCCTCCCTCTAGAGGTAGAAAGTGATTCCTGTCTTGTTGACTTAGTCACTTGACTATGTAACTTGCCTTGGCCAATGATATGCAGCTGCCATTGACAACACATCCATCCTGAAGATTCTCTCACATTGATGTCTACTCTTTTGTGCCTCTACAAACACCCAGAGGAGAGCTACTACCTTAAATATGCATCATTTCTTTGTCCTGGGCCCCAGAATGAATATTAGGTGGGTTTGAGCTTACCCTAACTTACCTAAGCAAGGACCAAAGGTCAGCCAAGCTGCAGCAGCTGCCCATGTAGCTCTGTGTGGACCAGTAAACCCTCCACTGACTCACAGATGTAGTTACAAGAATCAAGGCTCGCAATTTACAGTGGTTGGTGTTTGGGGCAATTCACTCTGCAGCAATACCCAACTGACACCTTCGTTCTAGTCCAGAGTGACTGACTCATCTACCCTGCCAAAGTCCAAACTCACCTTTACCTGAAGAGCCCAGGGCAGGTGAAAGAATATTGTTTTCAGAGTTAGTAGGATATTGCTGAGTTCTGCCTCCTCTGACCGCCACCTTATCTGAGAGAGC